AAGTAGTTTCATAATGTAATTGTTTAATACAGTGGCAATGATAACAAAGTTGAAAGGGGATATTAATGATAAGGGTAGCAATGATAACATGATAATAAATACTAATGATAATTGTAACATGCACTGTCATGTGATACGAAAGGAAATGTTAAACATCACATCAGTGTCAAATTTATATTTTCGTAAAAAAATCTAACAAATCTGACATCCAAATTCTAAACACCGGGGGTAACGTACGCATTCGATTTCGTACGCACGAATTGAAGTCACTCCCCACGCAGCACGATCATGATCTAGAGTGCCATAGATTCTGCCTCGCTCTTATGTCAGAACTAGATTTGCTTTTATTTATAATGCTTCTTTGAAACCATCCATATAATCTAGTAATTTCGTTAAAAAATGTCTTCTGTAAAGTCGCTTTTCAAAGGAATTTAAACGGGCGTATTATCTCCAGCTTGTGTGTGGCCTTGCATTCACCTACAACAACCCTGTAAGATGACTTTGCAGTTTCCAGCTTGAGCGAGCTGATTTGACTGCATCTAGAGTACAATGTAAACCAGTGAAGGAAGGAAAATAGGGTTTTGTCTTTATATGCATTTATCGATCTACACACACACACATATTGTATGTGGTAAATATATATATGTATATACACATATATATATATATAAATACATATATATACATATATACATATACATACATACATACATTTTTTTTTTCTTTTATACATAAGCATATACGTACATATATATATACATATGTATGTATATATATATGTATATATATATATATATATATATATATATATATATATATATATATGTACATATAGATAGATAGATACAATTTTAAAACTGACTCACTACTTCAACATAATAAGACCAGCCACATTAGTAGTTTTCTTCACAAGATTTGCATAATCTGAACGACTGCTGCAAACTCTCCGCATGGAGAGGGGCCTAGAAAATGTGACCTAAACAAAGCTCATCTCATCCACACCCAGTTGGCCAGCCGCGGTCAACGGGCATCTTACCTTGCGGCCGAACAACAAAAAAACATGAAAGGTCTTCACCCACCTCAAAGAGTGTGATAGGATTGAAAGTAGCATGTTGGAACATCAGAACTATGCTTGATGCACAAGGCAAAAATCGCCCCGAACGCCGATCCGCTCTCATTGCACACGAACTCCTGAGACTAGACATCGACATTGCAGCTCTTAGTGAAGTACGCTTCCCTGGTGAAGGCAGTCTCAGAGAGAACGGCTCCAAATACACTTTTTTTCTGGTCAGGCAAACCGGAAACAGAAAGACGCCTCTCAGGTGTAGGGTTCATGATCAAAAACTCCATTGCTTCAAAGTTAGAAAGTCTTCCAACAGGTCACTCCGATCGCATCATCTCAATGCGCCTTCCTCTCAGAAACAATGAACACGCCACGATCCTCAGTGTGTACTCCCCAACTCTTTTGGCAGAACCAGCAGAAAAAGACAAGTTCTACACCGATCTGCGAAACCTTCTTCAAAAAACACCTTCTGATGACAAACTATTAATCCTTGGTGACTTCAATGCTAGAGTAGGAAAAGATCATGAGGCCTGGAAAGGAGCACTTGGCAAACATGGTGTTGGGAAGTGCAACGACAACGGACGCTTACTACGAGAGGTTTGCACAGAACAGCAGCTCCACATCACGAATACCACGTTCCAACAAAAGGATAAATTGAAAATAACCTGGATGCACCCTCGGTCCAAGCATTGGCAACTTCTTGACTACATCTTAGTGTGCCAGCGAGATCTCAAAGCCATCGAAGAAAGGAGGTGCACTCAGAAAGAAAATCAACATCAGCCTTCTAAGATCAGCGGAAACAGCATCGAAATTCCAAAGAAGGCCTGCAGAAACTGCTAAGAGGCACAGCCTGCGCCAGTGATCCCAGTGACTCAGAAGCGATGTGGAGAGAACTGAAAGCAGCCGTCATGCAGACATCTGAAACCGTACTGGGATACTCTACCAAGAAGAACAGGGATTGGTTTGATGAGAATGGCAAGGAAATTCAAGACCTTCTATCAAAAAAGAGAGTAACCCACCAGGCCCATCTAGCTCAGCCGATGTGCCCTGAGAAAAAAGCATCATTCCGACATATGTGTAGTAACGTCCAACGCAAACTACGTGAGATCAAAAATGATTGGTGGACAAACCTGGCAAAAAGGACCCAGCTTTGCGCAGACACTGGAGACCACCGAGGGTTTTACGAAGCATTAAAAGCGGTGTATGGCCCATCACACCAGATCCAAAACCCAATGCGCAGCTCAGATGGACAACTGAAAACGGATTTAGACAAATTGCCCACGCTTACAGAGACCATCACAGTCATTAAACAATTAAAAAGCGGCAAGGCAGCAGGAATCGACAACATTCCACCCGAGATTTGGAAGTTCGGCGGACTTGCTTTACACACTAAACTCCACAAGTTCTTTGTACGTTGCTGGGAACAAGGTAAACTAC